ATCTCTAAAGCCCGCTCTGCTTCTAAATCCAGCATATCATTAACGGAACTTGAAATTTCACTATCATTATTACCTAGTGAAATTCCTAGCTGGTTTGCATTATTAATAATCTCATCATTAGAAAAATGCAAGATGGAATTAGAGGTATTAACTGACATACCAGTAGTGACCTCAATGTCACGAAGCTTGGCCGCTCTCATGGTGCACCGCTGCTGTATGTCGTCCACCTCCGGATGATCCTGGAGATGGCTTCTCAACCGTCTCCCCTTAGAAACCGGATCTGGAATACCACCGAACCCAATAACCTCCTCCCGAGTGGCCCTGCTCGTTGTGGGGCCTCCTGCCCCACCCCAAACACGCAGCCAGTCATCCTCCATGGACGAACCAGCTGGACCGCCGGAAAGTGGAGGGGCGCTCAAAGGCACCGGCGACGTCTGTCGTGTCCCACCATAGAAAGACCGCACCATGCCGGGGGAAGGTGGAACCTGGGCCACCTGCCCGAGCTCCCCATCCACCCCGGCCCTTCGGCCAGCAGGGGTCACCGGCGTCCCATGAGTGCCGGCCACCCCGGGCGCCCCAGGAGAAGAGGGCCCCGAGGCCACCTGCCCCAAGCCCCCTTCGAAAAGCGGAGCTTCCACCTGCAGCTCCGGCCTCACGAGAGGAGAAGAAGGTGCCGAGGCCACCTGCCCCGGACCCCCTCCCGAAGAAACAACCTCCACCACGGAGACCTCGTCCACCGCGAGAGAAGAAGAGGGCGTCGATGCCACCTGCCCTGAACCCTCTTCAAAAGACGGAACCGCCACCTGCAGCTACGGCCGAGTGACAGAAGGAGAGGGAACCGAGACCACCATCCCCGGCCCCCCTCCTGGTAGAGGGACCTCCACCGCCGGGCCCTCTCCTGAGGAAAATCAACGAGCAGATGGGAGGGAACCTCCTCCACCTCACCCTTGACCGGATTCGGCGAAACCCCAAGTAGTTGACTCACAGCTTCCTCAAAATCCAAAACAGGTAACATGTGCTCAAACACCTCATCAGTCTCCACCTGCTCACTCCAAAGCCTCGGAGGCGCAGAAGCCAGCTCGAAAGACCCAAATCTGAGAGTAGTCGTAGGCACCGAGGAGGGTGGTACCATACCATCCCCGGACGTCTGAGAGACGGTTCCCGGTGCAGTGGACGACTCTCGTCCATTCTCATCAACCGGCGCCTCCTTAAGCCCCGAACTGTCATCTCCCTCGTGCATATCAATATCAGTCCCATTAGCCATCTCGGCGAACAGACTCTCATCCTCAAACTCAATCATGAGGTTATAAATCTGGCCTCGATATGCTCACTTGACCACCTCAGGCACGTACTCAATATCCAGAACACTAACCAGCAGTCGGGCTATCCCGTGAGCTCTGGTAAAGTCCATATCCACTCGCTCTGGTCTCCCCACCATAATACCCAAACTAGCCACAACCCTAGCATCATGCATCGGCTTCGAGGGAGCCCTGGAAAAATGCAGCCAAACCTGAGTCAGAGGTTTGCCCTGAGGCTCGACCCTCTTCCACTCATGAAACTCAAGGACACAATCTGTACCCGGCACTTTGCACATCCCAAAACTCAGAAGTCTCTGTAGATCCTCAACCGAAGGGAACTCAACCCTAAACAGTTTATCCTCGAGACTAACAAGCTCCCACTGGAAGTCACCTGGAGCTAACTCCTTCAGCCTCTGCACAATCTGTGTCTCAGAGACCGCTCCTCTGGTAACTTTGACTATCCCAGTAGTCAAACTCAGGGTCTCGTCAGGAACCTCCCTCTCATTAGGAGACTCAAAGAATGTGAGTTCAGCACAGTACACTCCATACATAATGAGAGACGGTGCCTGATCTCGCAAAAACGGACAATCCCCCATATCATGTGCCGGTTTGCCACAAGTGCCACAAAGTTCAGCCACACACTCAGCAATAAGATGACCCTTCCCACCACATCGATAGCACAACATTTCTATTTCTTACACGCCCACTTGGACGCCCTCTCCAACTCAGCCCTGTCTATCGCCTCCACTGACACTGTCAATACGGACTCACTCCCGGGTATCTCAGCGTTAGCTAGCGCCGACACCACCTCCATAGCCTGACCTGACAAAACCGGCTCCTCAATAGACCCATCAACGGCCATCTGCTCGACAACAGGCGGAGGAGGCTGTCGTGGGCGGTACCGGCCACCTCGACCACCACGATGACCGTGGAAACCACCCCGCTATCGATAGCCCGGGCCAGATGCCCCCTCAACAAAACCTCCCGGGGGCCCAAAAACGGTCGTTCCGCCGAGCCGTCGCTCTGCCAAGCATATCCTCGACCACCACCCGTCGACGAGGAGCCACGGTGCTGACCAACCCCATATGCATTGAATCCATCATCTCCCCACTGACCCAGGGCGCGACAGAAGTACCACCAACACCAGAGTTTTGAGGCGGAGGCTGTGCCTGCGTCTGCACCATCCCAGACCTGCTCTGCGTAGGCTTGGCGACGAGGTGAGGTGGCAGGGCCGGCCTCGGCTATTGCCCGATCGTCAACCTCGGGTTCCCCGGCGCAGGCGGCCTCGGTGCGACATCGCCCCGGCCCGCAGCGGCATTCCCAGCCGTGCCAGGCGCCGAAGGACGAGGCCCCGGATTCTGCCCATTGCGCCCGACCGCATGACTAGCAGCCGAGCCAGTCGCCGGCGGGCGAGCACCGGGCATCATGACACCACCCCGGCCCACAGCCGCAGCGGCCGTTGCCATGCCCCGACCCGTAGCCGTCACCACCGGCGGCACCCCTCCACGGCCAGAGCTAGGGACCGGCGGCGGCACCGCGCCCCGGCCATCGCCAGCGCCCGGCGGCGGCGCTACCCCGGCGCATCCTGACCCGGAGGGCATCGCGGGCTTTTCCCCGGCGGCAGCGCGCCACCGCGGCCCGCCATAGCGCCAAGCGGACGAATTTGCCAAGCACGACCACCTCCAGCAGAACGAAGGCGCGGACACCGGCGACGAAAAACCCTAGAGTGCGAGGAAGAGGCTGGGGACATCGATCGATCGCTGCATGCGACGTCGCCCACAAAAGCGATCGAGACTGGACCTGACTGGGCCTCATACCCAGCAGTTCCCGGCCCACTGATACACTTTAGCCCGTCCTCCACATCCAGCCCACTTCGGCCCAGGAGCGTTTTCAAACGCTCCTGGCGAGCCGCCTGGATCGGGATCACCATGACCGCCGGCTTTGCCGCCGCGGCCACCTCTGGCGCCGATCTAGGCCCTGCCCGGCGTGGCTTTCTTCTACTCTTCACCGTGATCGATGAGTCCGGCCGAATCAGATCGAAAAACATTAGGTTCGGAAGCCGTACCTTAGGTAGGGGGCCCTTCCATGGCCGGACCGCCGCCGCCGCCGTCCTCCGATGAACCACGCGGCGAAGCATCTCCTTCTTATCTCCCGCATGAAGCCCAACCATAGCCGGATCATCGGGGGGCAGAACCTCGTCTATCGTAGTTGCCACTTCATCTTCGTTGAAACCTACACTCAGAAAATCACACAAGAAATCGGACGGCGTCGGCGATGGCGGAGATGGCGGCATCGCATCCGCGTCCTCTTCTCCATCGTCCTCGTTGTCGCCGGCGAGGGCCCAGAACCGGCCGCCCACCCGCCGATGGTCACCAGAGAATGGAGGCGGGGGGCCCGTGGTCGCCGCGCCTCCAGTCGCCCTCTCTCACATTGAAGTTTGCCCGGCCCACATATAACACATATAATTTGTGTACCAATGCTTGTTGAATACCCCACACAAATAATTCGTGCCTGAGCTTGCATTGGGACTCACTTAGAGGAAAGTGTCATAAATTCCTGCTCAGAGAAAGGTGCATCGAGAGGCAGAAGCTACGGGATAGAATTAGGGTAAAGGTCCTCAGGAGACAATCATTAAGATGAGATTGTGAAAGAAACCTTGTTTTAGGGAGTGAAAGAGACCTAAGATGAGATGGAGGCGTTTTGATTGTGAGAGAAGAAATTGATCCCACGTACTACCTCAATAATGGTAGTCTTTTTTTTGAAAACGCTAGAAAGCATAGACATGAAAATGTTTTATGCTTGCATCATCAGGGATGGGATACCATCTTCCTTAATAATGGCAATCTTATTTTTGTGTAAACGCTAGGAAACAGAGTCGTGAAAGTATTTTATGCTTTCATCATCAGAGATGTTGCTTTGATTTTTTTTCTCTTTGCTTAAGAACAGGGCCATTTGTCTGACGACACGTTGGAGAGAGACGATGACCGTTGGAGAAAAAGACCTGATTTCTTTAAGGCAGTCAATGTGGATTGGTTTGTGTTTGTTGGATTTAATTGTTGTGTATAGGTAGCATTCCAGTTTTATGGAGCGTTCTTTATTGATTATGGAGACCTCTAGGATGCGCAAACTCAAAGTCTTCATAATTATTGTGTATGTTATCATGGGACGAATTCTTTTCCAATTAAAACAAAAATCGTGAACTTTCCTCTTCATCGCACACAATTGTGATAGGAAGCGCGCTTTATAAATTATATATGCCGATTCCATAAGATGGCGACTCTACTATATGTATTTTTGCGAGTCCCCGTCATAGTGGCGGTTATTATGGCAATTCGGCCCACATGACTTGTTCTAATTCTCATTTAGAAGGAAAAAATTGCTACTGCGTCTGATTTAACATAAGTTTCGTAATTTTGAATTAAATCCTAAATTAAAATTGCAACACTTATTTTGGATCAGAGTGAGTAACAAACAAATATGAATATTTTATTGAGAATTCATGTTTCCGTACTCGAAATTATTCCACCGTTGCAACACACCGACATTCATTCAACACCAGTAGGAGTACAAGCAATTGGCGTACATAGATATATTTTGGGGTACCTAGCTAGAGCTAGCTAGTCGGTGAAGCTGCAACACACGCTAGTTCAACTAGTAGCACGAGCAATAGATATTTTTGGGCAAGCTACCTAGCTAAGGTAGCTAGTCGGTGAAGTTGTTGAGGCATGCGTGTGGCTCGGTGGCCTTGGCTGCGGGCGTGGGCTCGACGGTGGGGGATGGCGGGACGGGCGCCGTGCAGAGCAGCTCCTTTGGCAGGTCGGGGATGCCCTTGAGGTAGAAGGTGTAGAAGATCTTGAAGGGGAAGACGATCTGGTTGAGCTTGACCTGGCCGTAGACGCCCTCGAAGACGCCGGAGCCGCCGGTGACGGCGAGGTAGGACTCCTCGTAGGTGAGGTAGGGCCCCTGCACGGTGATGTGGCCGTAGTCGCCGAAGTAGATGCTGTAGATGGCCTCGTAGCGGTCGCCGTTGCGCTCCGGCACGTGCTGGATCAGGATGCAGATCCCCGCCGTGATCCCGATCCGCTTGTCCAGGCTGCCGTTGTACACCTGCGCGCGCGCCGTTGACTTCCTCAGCAAAGCAAGCAGAGGAGCTGAACAGAAGAAGGAGCTAGATTCATCACTGGCTTTGGCTGACTGACCTTGTTGGTGAAGGGGACGAGGTCGCCGAGCGCGTTCTGGCTCTGCTTGGCGCTGAGCCGGAGGTAGGCGGGGCTCTCGCGGTCGCGCTCGTTGAGCTCGTACACGTGCAGCTCCTGCACCTTGGTCGGCCTCGCGTCCATGGCCACCGCGGGCTTGGGCGAGAAGAGCGACGCCCGCACGGGGCCGCCGCACTTCCTGCCCGAGCTGACGCTGACCCTGCCACCGAACCCAGCCCTCGCGGCCTGGCGAGGGGTCAGCTTCGCCGAGACGGACGCGCCGGCCCTGACGGAGACGGAGGAGGGGGGCGCTGCCATGGTGCTGGTGGTGGTGGTGGCGACGGCTAACGGATGATGATATTCTTGGGTTCGATCTGCTTTCGATTGACGATGAGCTGGTACACACCCTAGGCTCCTTATTTAAGCACGCCTAGGCAGTGAGCGGCTGCGTTAGGTGGTGCGTGCGCGAGCTTAGTGCACCGTGCTTGTCGCTGGATCAATTCAACTTTATTATTATGGGTCCTTGTTCTCACTGTTCTGAGCACGCCGACCAATAATTGACACGAGGGGAACGTGGTGAGCGAAGGCGACACCGTGCTGCCCATCCAGTGTGTTTGTTTCTTATAATAATCCGCAACCAGGAAATATTCAGTTTTGAAATGTGCTATATGTACGACGAGACTCACAGTCAGAGTAAAATCCAGCCCCGCGTGCATAGGAGTGAAAAGGCTACCGCCGCCCGATTGCATGGGTCGTAGTCGTAGAAAGATCAGACGGTAAATGCCGTGTGTGGAACACTTTTGATTAGCCGAAAGAACCAATGGCGATTTCGGTTGACCCAGCAACAATTTATTTACCGATAACTCCTTGGACTTTTTTTTTCTCTTTGGTTGTTGCTTTCACAATCAATCACTGACCGGATTCTTATTATTCATGTGTAATTAGCATCTCTTTTTAAATTATTATTCTTCAAGAGTTGACTCATCGGGTATGCTTGGCTTTCTTGTCGCCTTCCTTTGTTTCTCAACCTTTCTACAAATACTTTGGATCTACTCGTTTTCTGTACCGCACCATATGCCTAGTACAATCCATAACTAGAAAGTTGTTTTCTTGTGAGAATAGGTATTACTCCTAAATAAGGAAAAAAAATGCTAACCACAAAACGACAATTCAAGCAGTTTACCTCAGCCCTTGTTGCATACCTCCCCGAAATGTCACATATATCCATATTCTGACACATCTCAGAGTTGTGCACGCAGAGATCTTCACATTTATTGGGCTTTATCTTGCCTAACAACCAACTGCCAAACAGTTGAATGATCATTTGTGTTTTTTTTTTTGGGGAAAGAGCCTCCTAGCACGATGGCGAGTGTGTCATGCTTCCACTCAAGGCCATCTAGGTTTTGTTCTTCCCACCTACTTACTTAACAACGAAAGTTAAGGGAGGGAACTTCCCCCATTAGCTTCATTTTTTTTCCATTCATGACTTTTTCTAATCGCCCATAACTTTATTCAAACTCGACAAACATTCTTTGGATCATAAAGCCAAAAAATATCAAAAGAATTTATATGACTAAGAATTACAACGAAATTTGTAATATGAAATATTGTCGAGGCTTCAATAAAAACATTGCACGCATACCCAAGTAGTAACGCCGGCACCGTATACGGGCACAAACATGATTGCTTTCAAAAGGTTTTGGAAAGCTCCATGAGTCGTCATCCAAAAAGATGAGAAGTCGTGAGCTTTGAACATACTTAGGCCGAGGATGGCCCTCTACAAGTAGAGGCAGTCGAACGACAAAATCTTTACCAGAATACCAAAGAAGCAGTCTAAACTCACCAAAGTAATAGACACGAACACAAACTCATTAGATCCACGTGTACGCGGACATAGCTCTACACCCAGAACAAGGCATTGATTGCATATACTACAAACACAAATCTCTACTTACTGAACTTGTTCATATCATGTAGAGGGAACCACTTATAAACACATGGAATCACATCTAAACTCCATATGTGGGACGGAAAAAGTTTCAGTTGGAGCACTTGTGCACTTACTGGAGACTGTAGTGGCCATCGACCAGTGCCCCCCTTCCCCCGCGCAAGGTGTTGCAGATATGCCCTAGAGGCAGGCTTGCATTGGGCACCTGTGCAGGGGGCGCACCTGCACAAGGCCCCCAATCAGCAGTGGCTCCTCGTTTTGATTAAATACACTGCAGTAGTTAGCAGGTTTTATGTACAAGCATAAAGTGCTGAATAGTCAAAGTAGGAAAGGTAATTACTACGCTTGAGATAACAAATTAACTCAATCAACTACTACCTCTGTCCTTGCTTATTAGTCCTCATTGTAATTTGGATCAAAGCTTCATGACATATTTGACTAGAAAAATGTCAAGTCACCAGAAATTCTATTGTTGGATTCATATGTTAATATAGTTTAGAATGATATTCCTATGTTAATATAGTATGATTTATATTTCATTAGTTGAAGTCATGATTAAAATATGATCCAAAATTAGAGGGGGGCTTGTAAACGAGGACGGAGGTACATGAAAAACTGTACGAATTAACTATCCAACCATCTCCTCATGCACGACCCTCTCTTACTCTTGGTCTTCCTCAAGCCTTGGACGCAATTCTCTTTCCTCGTATCCCCAGTTCTCATTAATCTCTAGCCATAGCAAACGTTCCACCCTCGATTCCTTATCTATTAATTGTTCATGATTTTTTAAAGGGTTTTCTATTTCTGTGCGGCCATGGTGTGGAAGTGGACCCCCGGCCACAAGGGGAGGCACGACCAGAAGACGGGTTCTTCCTTCGGCCGGCGCCACCCGCATTTAGCATCTCCCAGCCGGTGGTCCCGTAGCGCTCTTGGACATACGTGATGGTTGAGATCTGCCAGCGCTATTGGGAGACGGGGATGCCACTACCCTGGAGCAACATGCACCTCCCCAACAACTGGCATCACTCCGCAGATCAGGTGCCCATTCCTCCAATCCCGGTGAGCAGCCGCGGCCTCCTTGAGGAGATCAACCGCCGCCATGCGCGCCTACCGCCGGACCTCGTCAACGACGCCAGGTACGTCGTCGACTTCCCATTGTGGGATACGTGCCCCCGCGATGAGCACGACTTGTAGCGGCAATCCTGCTTTGTCGGTCGTGCTCCGAGCCCGTGACACGTCTCCATCATATCTATAATTTTTGATTATTCCATGCCAATATTATTCAACTTTCATATACTTTTGGCAACTTTTTATACTATTTTTGGGACTAACATATTGATCCAGTACCCAGTGCCAGTTCCTGTCTGTTGCATGTTTTATGTTTCGCAGAAACCCCATATCAAACGAAGTCCAAACGGGATAAAAACGGATGGAGAATTATTTTGGGAGGTAAAATGAACGCGAAACGGTGCCCGAGGTGGCCACGAGATAGGGGCCCACGCCCACTCCAGGTGGGCGCACCTCCACCCTCCTGGGCCCCGTCGTAAGGCGGTTGATGCCCTTCTTTGGCCGAAAGAAAGATAATTTTTGGAAAAAGATCTGGGCGAAGGTTTCAGTCCAATCGGAGTTACAGATCTCCGGATATAAAAGAAACGGTGCCAGGGCAGAATTCCAGAACGCAAAAACAGAGAGAGACAGAGGGACAGATCCAATCTCGGAGGGGCTCTCGCCCATCCCACGCCATGGGAGCCAAGGACCAGAGGGAAAACTCTTCTCCCATCTAGGGAGGAGGTCAAGGAAGAAGAAGAAGAAGAAGGGGGGCTCTCTCCCCCTTGCTTCTGGTGGCGCCGGAACGCCGCCGGGGGCCATCATCATCACCACGATCTTCACCAACACCTCCGCCATCTTCACCAACATCTCCATCTCCTTCCCCCATCTATATCCAGTGGTCCACTCTCCCGCAACCGGATGTACCCTCTACTTAAACATGGTGCTTTATACTTCATATTATTATCCAATGATGTGTCGCCATCCTATGATGTCTGAGTAGATTTTTGTTGTCCTATCGATGATTGATGAATTGCCATGATTGGTTTGAGTTGCATGTTTTATTATTGGTGCTGTCCTATGGTGCTCTCCGTGTCGCGCAAGTGTGAGGGATTCCCGCTGTAGGGTTTGCAATACGTTCATGATTTGCTTATGGTGGGTGGCATGAGTGACAGAAGCACAGACCCGAGTAAGTAGGTTGTTTGCGTATGGGATAAAGGGGACTTGATACTTTGATGCTATGGTTGGGTTTTACCTTAATGATCTTTAGTAGTTGCGGATGCTTGCTAGAGTTCCAATCATAAGTGCATATGATCCAAGAAGAGAAAGTATGTTAGCTTATGCCTCTCCCTCAAATAGAATTGCAATAGTGATAACCGGTCTAGTAACATAGTCAATTGCTTAGGGACAATTTCACAACTCCTACCACCACTTTTCCACACTCGCTATATTTACTTTATTGCTTCTTTATCTAAACAGCCCCTATTTTATATTTACGTGTTCTTTATTATCTTGCAAACCTATCCTACAACACCTACAAAGTACTTCTAGTTTCATACTTGTTCTAGGTAAAGCGAACACTAAGCGTGTGTAGAGTCGTATCAGTGGCAGATAGGACTTGAGAGAGTATTTGTTCTACCTTTAGCACCTCGTTGGGTTCGACACTCTTACTTATCGAAAGAGGCTACAATTATCCCCTACACTTGTGGGTTATCAAGACCTTTTTCTGGCGCCGTTGCCGGGGAGTCATAGCGTGGGGTGAATATTCTTGTGTTTGCTTGTTTGCTTTATCACTAAGTAATTTTTATTTGCTATTCTTAGTTGTTTTCTATCTTTAGTTATGGGTAGGAAACGCAAAATACCAAAAAAATTAGTTGTACCTACTGAACCAATGGTTGAAGAACCACTCAAAATCTATCACACTCCTGAAGCTTTTTACTTGGATCATCTTCGATCCCTTTGTGCTCGTGCTGAAACCCCCACTAGCTTAGTTGAGGGCAAATCTTTAGATGAGCATGCTTGTTATGTGCGACACCATATATCTGAAAAAGGGAAACTTTTACTGGATCAAATTCATCGGTTGCAATGCTATGCTTGGACTTTATGTGAAATATATGATGTTACTTGTTGTTTTAAAAACCCTAAGAAACACCTTCCCTACCAATGCTTGTTTAGTGATAACGGAATCGTATCTTCGTATGCTAAGGGTGTTTATAATTACTATGATGTTCAAAAAATTGAAGAATTTGTTGCTTTTAAGGGTGCTTATGAAATTGCTTCTTTGATTGAAAAGTATGATGCTACTCTCCACAAATCTGAAAAT